CTTAGAGAAGCTAAGGAAGCTCCAGTTGAGGGACTTGGTTTGCTCTCAGCAACAATTACAATAAATAAAACCAAATCAGGCATATTTTAGGTTGGTACAAAACCACATTGGACTTGATTGTCTCATAATTATACTGATAGAGTATAAAATGAACCCTAAGTGAATATTAATGCATTTCTAATCAGTATACATATGAACAACACTGTTTTGTGCACTAATGGATCCTGGCTGCACACTGGTCATCTAACTGACAAAGTGTTCACATCTTAGGTGCATTACCATTAGAGCACTCTACTTTCTCTTGTATTCAAGCAGCGATGCCTACAGCTATGATGTTATCAAGCCTCCGAGTGTCAAACAAGCAGTCTGTTTTCTGCTATATTTGCATAAATCGGTTACCACTAAAACCCGAATGAAAACAAGCGGTGTTCTGTTTGCTCACATTCCACCTCCGTGTTCAAGAGGTGATTTCAAATTGACTCAAACTGGCTTCGGCTAAACCCTATAAATGGCACTGAAACACATTAAGGTGCATATAGAGCACTATTTTGCCCCCAACCGCACATCCATTTTGCCCTTGAATGAGTGWGTGTAACACTGGAAATGAGTACAGGAAAAGACATATTTTCTTTTTTTTTCATTGCACAAAGGTCAAAGTCATTAATTAGAAGCAGCAAGCTTTAATAAAGGACCAATGTTGAGGTGGTAATGGCACAGTGAAGCCAGAGCCAGGGCAGACAGTTATATGGGCTTTGGGAGCTGGTAGCAGGCCAGTCTACAGGGGTGATGAGGGGTGTAATTTCAGGCTAATGGGTGCTGTACATCAGCTCTTATACTTCCCTGATGAGGGATTAAGGTTAGTCAAAAGTTAGTGACCACATACAAGGCAGGTCTGTGTGATGCACAGATGCACYGGGGCAAATACATGCGTCAATGCCCCTGAAAGCATCTACACACACAGGTAAAGTGTGTGTTTAACGGCACACAGCCACTTGTTTGTTCAGCACTCGTCTCTCTGGCTCCACAGTCTAATCACTCTAATATATGATGGACATAAACACAGTACATTCTCTTCCGCTCTCTTTMTACTTAGTATTGAACACTACAAACAAACACACACACACAAACAGACTCACGAACCCGTGCAATCTGGCCTGACATCAAAGTAGGTTGTAGTTTTGGAGTGTGATGAGTGCCAGTCCTCAGAATTAGCCCTCACATTCGGCACATAGCAGCCTTGGACGTGTTTGTGTGTGTGTGTGGTTCTTCTGTGGGCTGACCACAGTGGCTGAAATCTTGGGAAATTTTCTAAAGTAGGAGGAAAAAAGTTCCACAGACGCATGACGGAACTTTACAGAAACATGATACAACAGTCCAGTAAAAATAGATATTAGGACCAATRGGAAGACTGGAAGGCTGTTAGCAAGGTGTGAAGCAGAAATGGAGTGACCAGGATCAGTGTGATTGTACGTTTTAATGATACTTGCAGAAAGTGATCTGATGCTTAAATTTCATGTGGTAGTACCTGAGAGTTATTCACAGCATATAATCTGAGTGTGATACTCCAATGATATGCAAGTTTGTGCATAACAACATTTTCTAAGGTTTGACAAAAACAGTTTCCAGTATGCAATTTCTCAACATTAAATAGTCTTTGACTAAAACTCATGAAGGGCAGAAGTCGAAGGCATTTCTTCAAAGAATTAATGGTCTTTTAATTCAGCAAAGCAGTCATGGGAAGTGGGACTCGCTTATGGACAATAGCTTTGTTTACATGTGCAAAATTATTTGATCAAATTGAAATGTATTTGGATTAAATAATCTGAATGCATCATTTATATGGGCATAAAAGTAATAAATCCAATCACAACGAGCATTTAGCACCAGTCTTTTATTCAGAATAGAAGTAATAATATACKCAGAGTTGAACAACATGTTCTACTTCTGTGATGAACATAAACAAACGTATTCTGAACGCCCAGAATGGACCTGGGCCAGGTTATATATAATGGTGGAGACGTTACTGCACTCTGTGTCGCTACTCTTTYGACCAACAAAGTGTTCGATATTTTTGAGCTCTTTAGAAAAGTTGTATCGCTAACCGACCAATTTTGCTTCCCCGACATATAAGCATCTGGCCAGGCAGAAAAACATGAGGTTGACTCATTTGGATTACAAATTAATTTTGATCTAGSTGAATGATATCAGAAAATTCCAAAGGGGGCGTTTACATGACACATTTTTGGTCTGATTGGCCACTTATTCCACTCATGTCCATGTAAATATAGCTTGTATAAAGTAACTAAAATAACAAGGCCT